CCGGAACATAGTCTCAACATATCGTGGGACCCTAACACTGGCAAATAGTCTCAACAAATCCTCGGACCCTTACACTAGGAAATAGTCTCAACATATCCTCTTACCCTAACACTAACACTATAAGGACAGTCTCAACATATTCTCCGACCCGAACACTAACACTAGGACAGTCTCAACATATGCTGGATTCCTAACACTTGAACATATTCTCAACATATCGAACCCTAGCAAGAAAATTTAGTCTTCTCAAACTATGTCAATAAAAGTCTCCCAATTTCCTTGGACCCTATACAACAATCCAAGTTTCGCTATCCCCTCAGACCCTAACACTAATATGCTATCCAGCATCCATCAAACTACGTGTCCACAGAGTGGACCCTGCGTCCAAACTCGCCCTGAAAAAACAACAACCACCACGTTCCTGAAAAAAAAAACACACACACACACACTCTCACACGACCCTTACCTCGTAAGCGTTGACCACGAATCCTCATTCTACAGTAAAAACCCACGAGTCACCACAGGTCATGCTTGTTTATTGCCAGCAGTAGTTCCGCTGGAGCAATCTCCCCCCCCCCCCTTTCCCCACCACTTTCTCACTCCGGCAGATGACCACCGGGCACTCCCACGAGTCCCCACAGGTCATGCTTGTTTATTGCCAGCAGTAGTTCCCCTGGAGCAATCCCCCCCCCCCCCCCTTTCCCCACCACTTTCTCACTCCGGCAGATGACCACCGGGCACTTGAATTCCACGCCCGTGCTCTCTGGAGAACTTGCGGCGAGCGGGTCTACGAACAAACAAAAAGCCGGTTCGGGATATTATGGAACGCGAGTGAGGTCTCTTTTGACTTTAGGTTTAAGGAAATTAGGCTGATCTTTCGTCGGATGTCTCACAAAATGGCGATGGGGTATATACCAGAATATTAAGACCTCTGGACAGCGTGGAGCATTTGCATGTTTCATTGAAATCGCTATGTACTGTTGCACCTCTGGTAATAAACAACTTAACAGACCGACCAAGTTTTGGTTTTACCCCCCCCCCACCCTTCCTGATAAAAACCTGAAATGACGCCCCTGCCTTTGGAGCAGGCTTTTATTTAGTCGAGCTCCGCTCTGAGCTACAGCAACATTAGAAGGAGAGGAGGTGTTTGGTGTAGGTGCTAAGTGTTTAAAGGAATGTGTTTGTTATTGTCACCTATCTAGTTAATTAACTAGGAAATACAAATAATGCATGCAGCATTAACTTAACTGTAGAAGATTGTGGCGACACATTTGGTAGGAGAGTGGGTACAACATTATAGCTGTAAAAGAGTGGGGCAACAGAGATGACAGGAGAGTGGGTACAACATTATAGCTGTAAAAGAGTGGGGCAACAGAGATGTAGGAGAGTGGGTACAACATTATAGCTGTAAAAAGAGTGGGGCAACAGAGATGGCAAGAGAATGGGTACAACATTATAGCTGTAAAAGAGTGGGGCAACATAGATGGCAGGAGAGTGGGTACAACATTATAGCTGTAAATGAGTGGGGCAACAGAGCTGTTAGGAGAGTGGGTACAACATTATAGCTGTAAAAGACTGGGGCAACAGAGCTGGTAGGAGAGTGGGGCTACGTAGCAGGTAGAAGAGTGGGGGGGGGGGAGGAAACATGTAAAAAAGTGAAGCAACCTCGCTGGTAGAAGAGTGTTACATACAATTTTTAATAAATTATTATTTTTTGTTATTAAACTAAACAGTTGAGCTTCATTTTCCCCATTATTTATTTAAAAATACATTTAGAAACTCGGAGCACTAAGAGTGTAACTGTTCCAGCTCCGCTCCAGTTCCGCTCCAGCTGCGCCCCAGCTCCGGGTAAAAAGAACCTGTCCGAGAACTCCGGGGGAATTGATATAAAGAATGGGGATGGGTGGGGGGGGGTGTCCACAAAAATCATATTTCCCGAACTATATGGGAAAAAAATGAAATTCTGATATGAGAGTCCCTGGAGACATATACCGGTATTTCACTTTCCGTTAGGCAGTGGAATCTGGAACTCTACTACCATAGCGCATCTCACCGAAAACTTGGACCGAGGAAATTGGGTGCTGGCGTTCTGTCCAATGGTGTCGCCATCGGCATACATAAGGTTTATGCCACCCGTTGAGGTGGGAGGGGGCAACGATTTTTTCGAACCCTCACGAAAAAAACACTGTATTTGCCAACAATTCCGCCCCTCAATAAAAAGAAAAAAAGTACCGCCAGTGTCGGACCGCCACCTCCGCACCCCTTCATGCACCACTGGGGTGTAGCGAGAGTTTATAACACCTGGGGCTGTCCTTGGTTTTACCGCCTTTGATCTACGAAAACTTTTTTTAAAAAAACATACAGAAAACGCCATTTACAAATTGAACCCATTTAAAGTAAATGAAGTGAAACGAAAATCTCCAGCGCCCCACCCACTTTTTAAAAAAAGTCCCACCCGGGGCGTTTGGCAACTTCACCCCAACCCCCCCCCCCCCCCACACACACACATACACTTCCCACATCGGTGAATCCATCAGTTCTATTTCTATAGTGTTCGGTAGATTTGATTATATTTGAATGTCGCTATACCAGCCTTCGTACAAACAGCACTTTGAAATCCGATCTTCTATGGTTGGTACTTTGCTTTAAGTCAAGTTTCCTTCATATATTATTCAGTTGGGGAGTTGGGAGGGAAGCTCTTAATGGCTGAATGAGTTGTTCTGAATGTAATCGTATGAGCGTTTTTGTACTGCCCGATGATGTCGTCATATACCCCAACAAAGAGAAACAATCCATCCCTCCCTGTGGCGCTACAGCCCAAGTAGGGCTTTGGCCTGCCTCACTACTTCCCTTCCACTCAGACCTAACTAATGCTTTTTCTTTTCCATGCTTAGATTTTCATTTGTTGTAGATCTTTTTTCCACAACATCCATCCACCTAAGCCTAGGTCTGCCTTTGAGCCTTTTTCCTCTGGGGCATTGGTGACGCACCTTCTTCGTTCCTCTGTCATTGGGCATTAGGTTTCGTTCCTCTGTCATTGGGCATTAGGTTTCGTTCCTCTGTCATTGGGCATTAGGTCTCTTTAAACAAAAATTAAACAACCCTTAAAAACACAGTTTTTCGTATAAATCTTTTATAACATGTGATATCGAGCATTGGGGGTGGGGCTGAAAATTGGACAAAAACATGCAGACAAGTAACAAGTAACGCACTTGTAGGAATCCCAATTAGTGCGTCTGTCCCCCCTCCCCTCCCCCCCTCCCCCCGGGCTCGCAAACACACATTTGTCCACGCCCTTGAGCCACATTAATATTCTAATGTTACACCCGCTTTCACACCGCAGACTTATTGCACCAACTATTTCTGTAAAACAAAACAAAAAAATTATTACATACCAAACGCAACTGAGATATTTAAAAAAAAAAAAACTCATTTAGCGCAGGTATCTTGAATTTTATTTCGTGAAAGGATGCCGGGAAGTGGGTCTATAAGACTATGCCCCCCTCTCCCCCCTCCCCCCCCCCTTTGCCGAGATTTTTCTACTCCCACAGTGGCCCGAGGGTTCTTAATCCGGCACCGGTTGTTTGGTGATCACCACGGGCCGTAGTTCCTAGAGCTCCAATGTTGACGGCAAAAAAATTTATTATGATTGATTGACAAGTTCCCCTGCGCCCAAGCGTGCCGAAGAACGCTCCCATTACTCAGACGCTATATTTGTAGTCGTTGGTCTACGAGACATTTTTTTTTAAAAATAGAAATACCCAGACACGACTTAATGGATCACGATCGACTTTTTCGGCATATGTGTGGGATCGGGTTCTTTCAATGCTGGAGGCCGGATAGGTCTCTCTGAGAACGGGACATTTTTTTCCTAAGCACTGGACACATACTAAGCCATTTTTCTTATCACTGGACACATACTAAGCTATTTTTCTGAGCACTTGACACATACTAAACCATTTTTCTGAGCACTGGACGCATACTAAGCCATTTTTTCTCAGCACTGGACACATACTAAGCCATTTTTCTGAGCACTGGACACATAATAAGCCATTTTTCTGAGCACTGGACACATACTAAGCCATTTTTCTGAGCACTGGACACATACTAAGCCATTTTTATGAGCACTGGAAACATACTAAGCCATTTTTCCGGACACTTACTAAACCATTTATTCTTTGCTGAGCTCTGGACATACTTAGCCATTTTTTTTCTCTGCACTGGACACATACTAAGTCATTTTTTTTCTCTGCACAGGACACATTCTAAGCCTTTTATGAGCACTGGACACATACTTTCATTTATTTTTTCTGAGCGCTGGACACATACTAAGCCATTTTATCTGAACACTGGACACATACTAAGCCATTTTTTCTGAACACTGGAACATCATACACCATTTTTTTGGGCGTCGTTCAGAATGCACACAATAAATGAAATGTGATTACTTACAATTTATCTACTTGATGTGGCCGCCACATTTTCCGGAAAGAGGCAAAAATAGATAGACCGACCGTAATTGAGATGAATTTTCGGATCAATGACTGCTAGATGTCCGTGCATGGATTGTTGCGAAGCGAGGGGTGTGGGACGAATCCATTCGTGGATCATGTGGGCACTGAATTCAATTATGGCAAATTTTTTTAAATTGTTTAATGGTTTTGTCCTGAAGGACAAAGGTATGTTTATTTAATAAAACCCCGAAGGGAAACCCCCCCACCCCCACCCCCCACCCTAGTTACGTCAATGGCACAGTGCCTGAGGTGAATGTGTCAAAGTCGGATATACACTTGTCAAACATCGAGCAATACCCCAGAGGTCTGTCGTGTGCCGAGGCAGCGGGTGACAACCAGTAGGCAGACAGTTTCCTGCCACTGATCATGTCCCTTCTTTGAATCCGATCGCTTTGGTCGTATGGATTTTAATCCTGTCTATGGGGGNTTTTTTGGGGGGGGGGGGGGGGGGAGACTGCGTTGCTAATGTAAACAATCGGTTCAAACCCACGGTCGGGTCGGGTTGTATGTGGGGGGCGGTGAGTGTGTAAGTAGGAGAGATTAAAATAGTGTTTAAATTTGCTTACAGACTTTTAAATCGGATTATGATCGTTGTGTAGTAATGGCCGGAGTAACGGTAAGGAACTTATCAATCAAATCGTTTTCTTTAATGACATAATCACAAGCAGACGTGATCGAAATGTAATTATAAGATTTAAGTTTAAGTAGTAGGTGTTCATATATATATAGAATTTGTGATACGGTATAAAATATGTAGAGAATTTGTGCTATGGTATAAAATATGTAGAGAATTTGTGCTATGGTATAAAATATGTAGAGAATTTGTGCTATGGTATAAAATATGTAGAGAATTTCTGCTATGGTATAAAATATGTAGAGAATTTGTGCTATGGTATAAAATAAGTAGAGAATTTGTGCTATGGTATAAAATATGTAGAGAATTTGTGCTATGGTATAAAATAAGTAGAGAATTTGTGCTATGGTATAAAATATGTAGAGAATTTGTGCTATGGTATAAAATATGTAGAGAATTTGTGCTATGGTATAAAATATGTAGAGAATTTGTGCTATGGTATAAAATATGTAGAGAATTTGTGCTATGGTATAAAATATGTAGAGAATTTGTGATATGGTATAAAATATGTAGAGAATGTTTGCGTATGGTAGTTTATTTTTATTCTAGAGGGTTGAGGTGGGTTGGTCTGATACGATTTTCTGTGTAAACGTATACAGACATCTACAACAGTGGTTCTCAACATTCCTAATGCCGCGACCCTTTTCTCTGATGGTCGTAGGCAACCCCTGTGTAAGGGTCCTTCGCCCCCCAACCCCCCCCCCAAAGATGTCCGACCCACAGGTTGAGAACCGCTGATCTACAACATCATATTTTTAGACCTAAGTTTATTTCATTTGATGGTATGGTACCCTTCTGTAAGGCTTTCGTCACCCCCTCCCCGACCTTAAGTCTTTCAAAAGGACTATTACTTGCTGTCTGTTGCTAGTAGATGTGTTTACATTAAAAGCCAGTCAAGTCAATCACTGACTGCCACATAACGCAGGGGCTGCCACACGACGATGACTGGACGTCTCAACACAAAAACTTAAATAACGTGTTTGGTTTTGATGGACTAGTGACCGGCTCCCACCCAATTAACAGTAGTATAACTTAAAAGTGTCCGAGTCCCAGTTCAGATGCAATGAAGTTCAACGGACGTACGTACACGGGGGGCGGGGGGTGGGAGAGAGCTATCGACCTATCGACCCACTAGGAGTTCATCAATCGTTTATTGACCCCCCAAGTCTAGCAGCGCTGGTGAAACATCTTTTTCATGACAATTACAATGCATGACGACACACAGAGGAGTAGCGAGGGGGGGGGGAGGCGCAGGGGGAACGGATGTCCCCGGGCGCAAGCTAATTACGGGCGCCAAAATGTGCTTTGATATTATATTATTGGTAAAAAATAATGGGTTTGAGATTTAAAAAAAGAAAAGGGGTGCTTTAAAATGGATCTTGTCCCTGGACCCCCAAACACCCTCGCTACGCCTCTGACGACACACACTGCGGCGCTTACACGCACACATACACAAGTCTCATTTGACAACATACACTGACCGTCCACCACGCGCATACTCAATTGTCATGCACCTTAATTTAATTTAGACATATTTCCAAAATGTGTCCAAAATGTGTCCAAAATGTGTCCAAAATGTGTCCAAAATGTGTGTTATTTCAACTGCAACGTGACCGAACAACCAGAAGCCAACGCTTGAGTTTTTTAGAAATGATGTCATTATTTCAAAACTTTGAAATATCATTTTTCTATGTCAAATTTTTTATTTTATTTCACTAAGCTGGTGAAATGGTCTACTATATAAATATAATAAAAAATACACAATTCTCTATGTGACATTGTCACTAACGCTACCAGATGGCGCTGATTGCCTTAAAATAAAATACCCGATAACTGCGCTAAATGAGATTCATAAAAATACCACAAATGCTTAATATATTTTCTTTAAAAACAGAAATAGTCTCAATTTAAATATGGTGTTACAAATCTGCGGTATAAAACGGTAGTGGGGAAACTAGAATATTAATATAGAAGAGTGGCGTGGAAAAAACGGTAGTGGGACACTAGAATATTAATATAGAAGAGTGGCGTGGAAAAAAAAGTGTGTGGTGGTGAACCCGGCGCTACTAATTTAGGATGCTTATAAAGTGCGTAACTTGAATGCTTGTTTAGTCAAGTACCGTAACATTAGAAGATTGGAAGTTCACCCATTGCTGCCACCGTGTTTGGCGAACTTCAGCTAGTGTGTGTGCGCGTGTGTGTGTGAGTATACTTATTTATAAACGATCGATCCCTCCGAATTTTGTCCATTTAAAAATACTTTAAAAGATATGAAACAAGTCTATAGTGCTCTAACAATTATCTCTTTCTTTTTTTTCCAGATAAGAAATGCGTATAAACTCAACGATCGGTGGCCTTAAGAGGTCTGGAAACATCAGCGCCCCCCCTACCCCCCTACTGGTTTAGGAAAACATTTTCCCCTTCCTTTTGATCCTCTCTGAAAATGTCCATCGTGGAAAGCGAGTTGTCTGCTTCAGCCGGGCTACCCTTTACGTTTCACAGACGGCGCAAAAAGCTGAGCGAGATGTTCAAGAGCTCCTACTGTAACTGGACGGGAGTCGCAGCCAGCGAGCTTGAAGTTGCCAGACAGCGATCGGGGCATCGCCTCGGGGAGCGCGAGACGACTCTCCACGGATTCTACGTCAAACTGGATCACCGGGGCAGGGCGGTACACTCTGAAAACCTCACCGTTCATTTTTTCCGGTGGGGCGAAGGTGAACTTTCGTACACCGTGCAACCACACGACGATCAAAAAGGGGCCGGTCTTCAGTATCTGTGGACCGAGCACGGGAAATGGGTGAAACTGAAAGCAGTCGCGGCCAGGGCTTCTAAAGAAAGCCCAGAGAAAATCCTCCAACCCACGAAAGCATCCGGACACAAAAGGAAAGGCGACTCTTGCGTTGTTCGGTGGAGTAGAAAAGGGCGGAATGGCTATTTACGTTGTCCAAATGTTGACCTCGGTCCCGAGGGAGATTCGAACGAGATGTCAGGTGGTGGGGAGGCTGATGAAGAAGATACCGAGGATGGCGATGTTGATGAAATCGTCTCCGGTTACGACCATATCAAGATGAATTACAATATTCACAACGGGAGATCGTACTACCACAACGAAAGCATCTGCTACAAGAGACCCGGCTGCTACAAGCGAAAAGACAGCTACTTCAACAAAGGGAAAAGGAAACGCAATGCGGGTGAACGTTATGAGGACAGTCCGACTCGTGGACACCGCGCAATCAAGTCGATCAACTGTTGCGCCAAGAACTATCTGCTGGGCCGATCTGTCACGAGCAGAAACAGCAAGCGCTGGAAGCAAGGCGTGGAGGCTATGAAACACGAATCCACGTCATCTTCGTTCGAGGGCTGTTACGAATACGGTGAGTGGGAAACTTATTTAGAGAATGGCGATGATTGTGGGGGTCGAGCCCGTCCTGACAATCTCACGCTTGGCCAGTTCTGCTTGACAGACGTGACGAAACGGCCCAGAAGGGGCGTCAGAATTAGATCGGAGCATGTTCCTTTGAATGATGAGAACTTTTCTGCAAGCACTAATGATATTCATTCAGCAAATGATCTTTCTTTAACGAAACTACATCATGATGCTGTGCATACAAGCTCAAAGGTGGGCGAAGATTATGACAAACGCACCACAGATGAACCGATCGGAGAGGACAGTGTGGACACGCAAACTAGTCAAACAATCAAAGCGGACAAACGTCCAACAATACCTACCTCAACTCAGGACACACGGGGTAAAGAGTACGTCACGGTTCTGTTGAGCCGGGCCACGACACGCCCGGACTGTCTCGTGACGGAATTCAGGCAGGACTATCGGGAGGGGGCCTGCAAGCCCAGGAGATTTGCCATCAACATCTCGCGTCTCATGTACCAGCACGTGATACTCAGAACTCGGCTCCGAATCAGAGCCGTCCCCAAACTGGACATGTCCACGTACCTCGTGTTTGCTTTCTCGGGGGAGTTTCCGTCGGGGCAAGACGAGTACCGGGTGTGGGTCAACTCCGTCTGGTCAAATTCACCAGCAGGGCAAATGCTCAGAAGTTTTGCCACAGACCACAAGGTGGCGCGGATACATGAACTGATTGAGGATGTCGTCAGAGCTGTGGATGAAGTTGATATAAAACAGCTGCGCGCGAGAACGGGAAGCCTTCCCGCGGAGGTGAGGCAACGTCCCGTGTGCCTGTTCAACATGCTGGTCACCGTCGCTCGCTGGGAGACGGACAGTTTTTGCCTACCCCACACTTCGGAGTGGTGCGATAGGGAGTCGGAGGCTCGTGCGAGGAAGGCGGACTCTCCCGAGAAGATTCTAGGCGATGTCATGGCATTGCTTGATGAAAAGATCAACGACTTCAGTCAATGTACCAGCCGGGGTCCTGCTAATGCCTACCTCTGCGGCATTTGTCTTCTGGACTTCAGCTCAAAAGACCGCGAAGGACAACCTCTTCCTTTAGCGCTGACCAGCTGCAGCCACTGGTTCTGTGAGGACTGCTGGAGGTCAAAGGTCGTGATACAGTTGAAGCGAGGACGGCGGCCGTGTCACGTTGACTGTCCTGAAAAAGACTGCCGGGGCCGCATGGACCCCGTGACGACGTTATCGCTGATGCGGGTCCACGATATCAGGCGCATGAACCAATTTAAAGTAGACAACTACGTTGTGACTTCTCCGCTTGTCAAGATATGTCCAAATGCTTCGTGTGGACGAATCCTCTTCGCCAAGCCCCAAGCCCAGGCAGACAAATCCACACTCATCGTCACGTGCGCCTGCTCTTGCCAACTCTGTTTCAAATGTGCGCGCGCACCGCACTGGCCGTCCTCGTGTGAGATGTCCGACAGATACCACAACCTTATCAGCGAAAGCGGTGAAGACATTTTGACTCGCACTCTCCTCGACGGCGAGTTTCCGGAAGTGGTGTCACGGGGCAAGAACTGTCCAAGGTGTCGGATGTTCATTCAAGAAACGAATAATTTAAGATTCGTGACCTGCGCGTGCGGCTGTCAGTTTTGTTGGCCGTGCGGGAAGGAGATAAACGGATCGGTCGTGCCGCACACACGCTGCGTGGAGGTCTTCGAACAGTCAGATAAGGTCCTGAAGGAGATAATACTCAACGGCAAAATGGAGCTGGAAGACGCCCAGAGCTCAAGATGGTACAGGACAGCGCTGACACACAGAAAGATGCGGCATCCGGAAGTTGTCATCGCTATGTACGCCATGGCGGACACGACCGCCAAGTCGATCGCCAGCTCGGCTCAAAACGGACGATACGTCGGTGGCGTCGAAAGCGCTGTCAAAGGCTGGGGTAAAAATCTGACGAAATGGGCGCGGGAAAATTATGACAATTTACACTCCCCGAATACGATATCAGCGCCCGTGCTTGGGCATCAAGGCGAAGATAATTATCGAAGGTCTCCTCGTCCACTCACGTCCGCTTCGTCCAATCGATCGGCGTCATCTTTCTCCAACGACCCACCAGACTCGGATTTCAGTATCGCCGCGGCCACTTACAACATCGTGCAATCGAAGCTTGAACTTCATCACATCGTCGAGTACACGTCCGTGCTACTGTCCAACTCCCTGCACATACCTAGTCGGCTCGTGCAGTCCTTGGAAAGAGCGGAAGACATCTGCACGACGTTGGGCATTCTGCTGCAGAGCTCTAGTGCCCAAAACCCCAGACAGATCATCCCCGCGTTTCTCAGGGTGCAGCGCCAAGCAATCAACACTATTGGAGATATTGTTTCGTTCCTGGAGAAAGTGCCTTCCGGTGTTTTTGGGTTGGATGAAAATTAACAGATTGCGGTTTACAGTCCACAGGTGTACAGTTTTATCAACATTGTAGATAGTTAATAAAAAATAAAGTAATTACACCAGGAAGATCGTTGCTAGAACGCTATTGTTTGACACATATTTTAGAAGACTCAGAAAGGCCCCAACTGGCCTACATCTAAATAGACTTAAATAGTAGGCATGTATCTAACGCTTTATCTGCCTCGGCACGGTCGGTACCTTATTGACTCCTGGCTATGCTAATAATTAGCATACAAAAAGCAAATAGGATTAATATATATTATTTCATTTCTTACAAGATCAACTAGTTTTTAGATATTGAAATTGTCATATTAAATATGTTCACATGTGTGTTTGAATTTTTATAATACCTTAGGTATTCTAGCAAATACCCTGCGCATTATTTTCCGACGATGTTCAGTGATGTCTATCCTTCATTTGCTGGCAGATCTCGATGACTTAATGGTATACACTAATAGGTGACAGCATCTAGTCCCGCTTTAATTAACAGAACTACGATTTGTAGGCATACGATGAACTACATCAGTGGTGCCCGATAGCATCAGGAGTGCATGAGCGACTTCGAGTCATGCTTGTTGCAGCTGCTAAGTTTCTCTCTACTGTAATAACATGTTGAGCTAATTCGTGTGTGGACCCTTGGGGACAGGGGCGTTATCTCAGTTTTTTTCAAAGGGGGGGGGGGGGCAAAACTTGGTCGGCTTATTGTTTATTACTGGAGGCGCCAGTTATAGAATATTAAAATGATGCAATTCTCTTAAGCACTAACAACTCAAGCGTCACCATGTGAAAAAAAAATCATTGTATGTCCACATGCGATAGTTTAACTATAACTATAATGCTGTTATAGTATATTAAAATGTTGTAATTCTCTGAAGCACTAACAACTCAATCCTCACCATCTGAGCAAACATGTCATTGTATGTCACCATGTGATCCACATAGACTTAACTTTTGCTGCTATAAAAATAAAATAAAAATGTTGCAGTTCTCTAAATCACTTCATTCCTCACTATTTTTGAGATTCCCCGAATGCATGTAACATTTTTTGAGATTCCCCCGAATTCATGTAACATTTTTTGAGATTCACGTTACTAAGATACATCCTTCTTGATTTAAAACCAAATTTCTTTTGGTATTTTCTGATTCTCTCTTGCCATTATCATGTGACAATGTGTTGAAACGTTACAGCAGAGTTGACCCGTGCCATTAATTAGACCCTAAACCAAACCTGACCACCAGTGAGAGTGAGTTGCCTCACAAATAAGGTCCAGGGAGTCCCAGGTAAAACAATCCAATTAACCTTTTAAAAAAAAATATATATATATATTTTCAGCTGCTGCCTTCAAGATAAAGGGAAATAATTATCATTTGCATCATGCTTTTACTTTTACGTCTCCTTATTTTTAAGTGTGGTTTTGTCAGCTAGAGTCACAGCTGTAACACACTGCCCTACTTTGAGACACACAGCTACAACACACTGCCCCACTTAGAGACATGAAGCTATAAAACACTGCCCTACTTTGAGACACGAGCATGAGACAATGAGTATGAAACGTCACCATCAACAGTTGGTAAAAAAATCACTGATCAAGAATAGGGAAGTCTAAGGGAGACTACCTCTATGGATAAAAAGTGTAACAGATACAAAGAGGTGTGTAGCTGATACAAAGACCTGTATAAGAGAGACGAAGACCTGTGTAAGACAGATAAAGAGGTAATGAAAAAGTTCTCGTTAACTACCAACCAAAAGGACAATACAAAATGAATATTAATAAACAAACTCTTTAAGATATTTCATTCAGAGATTGATTTATTGGGGGCAAAAATGTAAAAACTGCAAATGGAAGATCCGTGCAAATTAAGGAAACGTATCACGCTGGAATGTGCCAGTCTCTGATTTCATCAACAGATAAGGAAAGAGCACATGAGGCAAAATAAACATAATGAGATGTGATTTTTACAACAAAGCGATCTCCACCATATTAATATTAACACTTACATAAACATTGCTTTTTACATGAAGATAAACTACCTATCAAGGCACACATGCTGCTCAGCTGGTATAGCAAACAAAAGACACATTTTATTGTAACGATTGCAAACTGTAATTTGTTATACAATTGAGCTCATTTGTTACACTCTATTTAAACCAGTGGTTTGGACAGGTGCTCGAAGCTGGAGCTGGTAAAAAAATCTTTTTTACTGCCCCAAAAACTTGTATTAATCAATAAATTAAAAAAAACAAAATTTGTAGTTTCTCTATAGTTTTTATGAAGCAGAAGGCATCAAAGTCAGTGATAAATATTCTGTGAAAAAAATGTCTATTAATTTGATTGTGAGCTTTTCTAGAAGCAGAAGCTCTACAGAGTGAACGTTTCAAAATGCTTACTACAATATTCTTGGCAAGCGAATTAACATAAATTATACTAACATACACACCAACATTCCACATAAATCATTCAACACATCAAGACTTCATATCTTTCTCTCTCTGTCGCTGTTGCCAGATGGTCACGCCATCACAAGCACAGAAGCGCTTGGAGTTTTCATATAATCCAGAAGACCTGGCAACTATGCCACATGCTAATCTGTGAAAATCGATCATTATTTTTTTAGTACCTGTATAAATTATGATGAACACATTTCAAATGTATAACAACTGAAATCTTTGTATTAAACCCTTAACCTGAGTTATTAAACATATAAGGAACAACAAAAAAAACAAAAAAAAAACAACAAAAAAACCAAAAAAAAAGATTTTAAAGTATTTTAAGTAATGATAAATGTCACAAAATTATTATAAATGATTGCAAAAACAGAATAAAAAAACTGCTGCTTTGTAAATAAAAAATATGCTATTGCTAATACAAAATTTTTTATTAATAATTTTATGTATTGAAATATCTACAATAATTAAATAACTTATGTAACAGAAAAAAAAACACAATTATCTCATTTAAAGTGACATTTGACATCTTTAAAATAACAGTGACATTAAAAAATGGACTAATTTTAGTATTTAAGAATTTAAATGTTCTCATTAATCTTATTAAAAAGCTATGCAAAAAAAACAAACAAAGAACAACATATATCTAGCTACCTACCTCTCACTCTTATTCTCTTCTATTAGTTTCTGGTTTCCTCTATGCACCACAACACAGTGACCCAATATTTCTGACAACTTGACATTCGGGTTGACTAGTTTGAACTCTGCTGTTTGGTTCGGCTTTGGTTCAAGTTGGCTGAGAATACCTTGAAACTGAGATAGCGGGTTAAACAATGAAGAGACTTGGCTGTCAACAATTGTGAAATACATTAATGACTTCTGAATGCATGGTGGCCAAGATAGCTGAAAGGAAAACCCCTGACCTAGCACAACCGATAACCCCAAATCCATTTTAAAGACTAATGATTTGTCCCATGGGCTGAGAAAAAAGATTGGATTTAAGAACTTTAACATTACTTATCTCTTGGGAAATTCAGATGACAAAAAAAAAGCATTTCAAAACCTGTCCTGGTTGGGGTGGTTTTTTTTTAAAGTGAGCTGTCTTAAATCCTACCACGCTTTGATTAGGCAAAATTTAATTGGAGCAAGGGAGAGGGGGTGGGGGTTCGAGATTTCATTAGACATATGCAGCTTTTACCCCCTTATCCCTTCAATGCTCATATGATTTTACAGCTATATTTCCTCAATTGGCTGGCAACTATAAATACACTAGGTCAGTGGCTCCCAATCTGTGCTCCACTTTTCAGAAATTCCACACCACCAACCATCCCAACACTATTCCTGAACACCATTAACTTGTAAGACACAGGGTAGGCTCCCCCATTGAAAATAACACCAATAAATGGCTCCGCAAGTCAAAAAGGTTGGGTACCATGATTAGATTATAAAACTAAATTTCATATTGGGGTAGACAGACCTGTTTTAAAAGTGAATGTTATAATATATATGATGCATAATAAAAAGATGGCTTCTGAAAAATGCAGATGACCTAGAATGAATAAAATTCATCATTCACCAGACAGCATTCCAGCTTTATATATAATAGACTGAGAAGGTGCCAAATGACTTACATCACTTGATTTAAAGAGAGAGCCACAGCTATCACAGCCAGCAGTCACATCACCAGATTCATGCACTGTCAAGTACACGGGATCCGCTGTGGGAAGTTTGTCAATGGTTCCTTCAATGATACAAGAGTTTTCTGTTTGAATAAATCGAAGCAACCCTTGAACACCTGAATTTCCAATACTGATGGCTGCAACACCTGCACCAAAATTTTGCTTGGCTGCAGAAAAAAAAAATACATTAGGATTTGTGGCTGAACTAGAAACATGGCTGCCAAGGGCGAAGATTTTACTTTCTGTCAAACTTTGATGGCAACATACTGAACTATATCCATTAAATTTGAAATTGACTCACTATTGCCTTTAAAATAAAGCACCATGAGAAACTTTAGTAGCAAAAGTTTAACTTTACATTGGTTAATGAATAGCAGTGGTTCTCAAAATAGTATGGTGGGATGCCTGGGGGGTGCTGAAGAGCTAGGGAGATTTGAATCAGGTGCTGTTGAATTTTTTCAGGAACAAATTTTTAAATTAAATTATACATTTTAAAGAAAGATGAGGTCTCCTTGTTTTCCTTGTAGGCATCAAATAATATTCCAGGTGATAAGGATGAAAGGGCTGATGGCCCATAAAAGTTTGAGAACCACTCATGTCTAAGACGAAATAAGACTTGCTTACATGTTGTACCTAGTCCTAGTAGCACTGCTGAAATACCTGCCTCTTTTTCAATAACATCTCTTACGGTTTCAGCTAATATACTGCCCTCTAAAAACAGCCTTTGGGTCGAGAAATCCATATTAATAGAAGTTATGCCTAGAGATTAAAAAATAATAATTCAACATTAATGAGGACTACTTGAATCAATTTATTTTTCAATGCTACACAAAATATTTTCATATTCAGCATTTGGTTGTGTTTGTTACAGTAAAATTAATTTTATTGTATTAAAATAACTAAAAATGTGTCCCCACCCCCACCCCCCCAAAAAAAAAAAAATGTGCCCCCCCCCCCCCCCCCCACTTCCTTCTTAGGCCACTGTCACAGAAATCTGGTGCTTTTTGAAAATATAATAATATACTGGTGTGGTTACCTTTCAAGCCATCAAGAGCATTTTTGACACGGTTGGCACAACAAGGACTTCTCATTTCCACTGCAAACTCCATCTAACAAGTCAAAAGTTTAAAAGATGCAGAAAAGCCAATAGAGTGGATTAAAAAAAAGATTGCTATTGAATGTACAAGTTACCCCACTGAAGATTAGACAAAGAAAAATAGAATACCGGTTACGAAAAACATTTTTACAATTTTTTATTTTGGTCAAAACTATTAAGATCTTGGAATAAAATTCAGATTATTTAAAGTCAAAAACATAAAGTCAAGCAAAAGTCAGAAATGGGAAGCACTTTAATAGATGACCAGTTTGGGAAAAACATATGTTGTAAAATTTTGTGGAGTCTGGCTGTGTTATGAATGAGTTACAAATATGTTGGCTGGAGTTCATATCCAAACCAACACCAAAGTAGCAGTGAAAAATCATATAAAATTGAACTCAATAAAAATTATGGTAATGCTCCTGGTTCAAATTATATCAACAATTTGATGCTCCATGGGTTCACCAGTTGCTTAGAGTGGGGATTTGGGGGGGGGGGGGGGGGGGGGGGGGGGGGACGGACGGACGGACTGCTGAGTGGGAAACAGTCAGGGAAGCCATAATAAATATAACACCTCTAACAGCCCTTGTTTGTTGGGACTTGGCAAGTTCCCCACTGCCCAATTCTTCTTTGACAAATGCCAATAATTATTCTAGACCAGTGGCTCTCAAACTGTTTTCATCCACCGCCCCTTTGAAGCCATAAGCACATTCCAACTGCCCATCCCCTATCTTAACCCGTTGAAATAATTTTTTCAGAATAGTTTTGCATATGGACAATTTTAACATCATAAAATGAAAAAGTTCAACATATATTTGAACATTTTACTAACAAAATTGAATATTTTGATCCCACGATACCATGTCTACAACTTTTAAAGTAGGATAATTATCAATCAAGAATTTTATATATCACACTTGTACCCATGTCCTTAAACAAAAGACAAACGGACATATTGATATTGACATTCATGTTGAAGCATGTTTCTCAAAGACTTTGTAGGGTCGAACGCATCACGTTCTGGAGAACAGGTAACAAGAGCATGATTCTCTTAGAAAAACTTGGTCAATGCAAAGAATGGATGCCATGATCATGGTGTAATTTATGTTTGTATTAAAGTTACCGTGATTTAGGGTTCAGGTTAGGTTTAGGGATACATTTTTAGGGTTCAGGTTAGGTTTAGGGATACATTTTTAGGGTTCAGGTTAGGTTTAAGAATACATTTATGGTTCAGGTTAGGTTTAGGGATACATTTAATTTAATTAGGTTTAAGTGACATAATTAACTGGTCGTGTCAACCAAGATGGCGGCCATGGGGAAAACATGGCATCCATTCTTTGCATTTACCAAAAACTTACACTTACACTTACTTGTCGTCAACTAGATTTCCTCTTCCGTTGACACTCCCATAACAGCGAAATTTTGCAAGTATAGACATTCTAAGACAGTTCAGTATAGACACTGACACTGTCAGTATAGTATAACTTTAACTATGTTATGTCACTCATCAAGTAACATTAAGTTAATGTTACTTGATGGGTGACTTGGACTTGAATGACTTGAACTTGATGCCTTCATCATTGTTCGGCGACATTATTTCAGACAGTTCCCCTTCATAATCACTTATTAAATAAATGAATGACATCGACAGTCCAAACAGTTGGGCTCCGTCTCAAGAGGGTTACATTAGTTAAATTTATTTCAATTTTAAATTTTGACTGACTAAACTTTAAATTAAACTAAACTAAACCCAATATCATTATCCTCATTAAATTAATGATGATTGATAAATGATAAATATTGTATTGATATTGATATTATCTCTAAACTCCAAGTAACTACTTACTTACTGAATTAATTATTTCAACTTACTACGTCATGTCGCGTCTACTTACTTTAGTGTCTGGCAGGGATTGCTGATCAGCTCCCACATTAGACATTTTAAACAAAGAATTCTATAAACTATTATTATTATTCTTAATTCAAATGTCTGCAATCTTCTGCATAAAATAAGATTTTCATTTCGTTAACGAATTTTGCTTTTTGAATAATCCATTGCTGAGGGTAGGTGCTTTTACCGATACAGCAAATAGTACCGAGATACGACAAAGCCTGATTGACAAGCATCAATTACTTTTTCTCTACATTGTTAATCGTGGATTCCTGAAATTCAAAACTAAAAATTTCAAATGAAAAAATAATACAGACCATTAAATAAGGTTAAGTAAAAACGCAAAATAATAATTTTTATATGACATAATTAAACAACATTTGCATTGATCACAGTGCATCAAGCCGTTTTAACTTATTTGAAGCAAGCCAATTTTCCAATTTAAAAAAAATGGAAACAAATTACAGATCTGCTGAACTTTTCTGGTTCAATTCACTTTAAAAGAAAAAAAAGAATATACCGTAATCATGGGATTGACATAGATACTTAAATTAGTTTTCGGTTAATGTGTTGCATTGTGGTTTAAATAAAGAAAAATACTTAATGAAAGGTTTATTTAACGTTTTACTTTACCAAAATCTTTTATAAATTCATCATATGATTCATACAAATATAGCATCTTTACATTCCAGGTTATTAGTTGAGGGCAGATCTCATCGTTTGCCCTGTCAGTCGGTGTCATAGTTAGGCGTTAGTGCCACCCAGGGCGGGCCAAGCTTTTTGCCGATATTACCAATGAAAAAAAAAACAACAATCTGCAGTTGGTAGAAAATGCTGCCCCTCAAAATAAGGAAAAGCGAGTCGAAAGAAATGGACTCGCTCCTCCGCACTCCCTTGCTACGCCAAATGCCATGATTCTGCTGGCGTACCGTGCTATTAACATGATGCCACCTTCAAAACAACGCGCCTCGCACGCCGCTCCAAAAATGCTTTTTTTTTTATTAATAGATATAATCCATATAATCTGGCTCTTCACTCGGATAAGGTTGCCGACCCCTGAACTATGGCAAATGATAAAAATAGTTAAATTCGTTTTATCTAGTTCATTTGTGGGTGAGAACGCAAAAATGCATGACGTAATATCTTGGTTTTAATCGTCGCAAAGTAAAACCACACACTCTATTCTATTTCCTTTATTTTACAGTAAGCGAATCGACCATTGCTTAATGTATCGACATGATTCAAACGATCGATGCATGTCTTTTATTATGTTATATTACGGGGATAAGTTTTGGTATGTTAAATGCTTTGAAATAAGTATGTTCTAATTTAAAGGGTCGAATATATTTTTGACAAAATATTGTCAGGACGAAACATACCTCTTAACCCTTTGTGGTAAATGTGCCGTAAATTAAGACATTGTGGTTAACTTCATTAACTTCACCCATCGTGATAAATGTGCCTTAACTTAACCCATTGTAGTTAATGTGCCTTACCTTAACCCATGGTGGTTAATGTGCCTTAACTTAACCCATTGCGGTAACCCAGAATGCATGAACCGAAGTTACCCGGATAATAATAATAATAATAATAGGCATTGTGTGATACTTCCTACCTGCTATTTCGAAGTCTCCACACCCAACAATCCAATGTTTACGTATATAACTGAAACATATTTTGATGTCTTGCATTATATAGAACACAAAAACAACGACATTATCCTACGACCTTGGAATGTATCTTTGGGGAATAGTTAATCAGAATTACTTACTTGAAAAAAAAGGTATCTGTAGAAGTTAACGTTTTTAAAAATCATTTTAGTTTTGAGAAATATTTATCTTCTATGATTTATGTAACATTGGCCTACACTACCCTTTTTTATAGCCCCCTGAACTGCATTTTTCTTTAAAAATTGTAAAAAAACGTGTCCTTAAATTTACCCCCAAAAATCTATAGGCCTACACCATTTAAATTTTGTCATGCTTAGTTATATTGACTCAATGAAATTTAAGGCTTTTGATTTCTAACTTTTCTTTCTTTGACTTTGAATGCAATCGAAAATTGTAATTTGCTATTCTTTGAAGACGTTTCAATAATTTAAATTTAATTCCCCAACATTAACAACGCAATTATTTTGTAAACAAAACAACAACATAATCGTTGGGTTTAATCCGATAAATATGATTATGAATTAATAATAATAATAATAATTGGACGATTAGTTATTGATTAATAAAAAGAAAGCTTAGCTTTAAAATTCTGATAGAATGTTTTAAAAAGTTCTTCAAATTGTTATTTTAAATGTATTTATAATTTAGAATAAAATTCTTAAACATACTTAAGTACACGCAGATATATTGTATTTATATTCAAATTTTAAGTTGATTCGATTTCCGTAAAATAATAGAAAACACCTATAATCCTCTTTAAGAATCCGAAAGTATTTAAATTAATTTAATTTTTTTTTTCTTTTTGGGCGTTCTATGGGTGCATTAGCACATTTTTATATAACATGTGCCATTGTGTTCCTATTTGCTTGTTGTAACTTTACATTAAGAGATGAGTTACATCGATTATTTTCCGTAGCCAGAAATTTCGTCGAAAGAAATTTTGTCGACGTTAAATTGATCGACGGAAGTTTAGGTTAAATTTTCATCAAACTTCCGTTCGATGAAATTTCCGTTCGAGCTAAATTCCGTTCGATCAAATTTCCGTTTGACTAAACTTCCGCTCAATCAAAATTCCGTTCTATCAAACTTCCAGTCGATCAAATTTCCGTTCGATCAAGTTTCCCTCGATCAATTTTCCGTCGACGAAATTTCTTTCAACGAAATTTCCGGTAACCCTTATTTTCTCGAACTCTCCACATCATCAGATACTTTTTTTTACAATTTATTTTAATGTGTTGTTCTTGTACACACATGAAGGCTTTTAGCCGCAACGCCCACCGTGTCTCTGTTGTGTTCATTAGTTTCGTTTACCGTACCTGATTGCATAAGTCAATTATCCTTTTAAGCTCTTCGATAAAGTGGTGAACTGGGTTTGACCGCAAGCTGGTCACCACCGTTTTGTATCCCCACCAAAGCCTGTCATCTCTGACTTGCTGTTCCCCGACCATGCACGTCTTGGCGTCATGTAATGACAATTTACTGCATCATTTATCTTTGCCTTCCCTCTGACGCCTACAAGGATGTTGAGCTTAAGATGACATACGGCTTGTCATAATGAGTAGACTCATTACTTAACATCATCAACTTGGGGAAAAACCTTGAGATATCATGCATATATATATATATATATATTGGCATCCGTCCGTCACAGTATGACGATGGTGTAGACTTTGCTGGACGAAACCACAAGGCCTGTGCTTTTTCTTTAAGGGGGGGGGGGATAAGCTGGCTCCCTAGACAACACATCGCCTGTCTCCACCCACCTGGATAACCCAAGTTGAACATCAAATGTGGATGATACAGCTTGTCCGTCCGTCACAGTATGACGGTGGTGTAGAGTTTGCTGGACGAAACCACAAGGCCTGTGCTTTTTCTTTAAGGGGGGGGGGGGATAAGCTGGCTCCCTAGACAACACATCGCCTGTCTCCACCCACCTGGATAACCCAAGTTGAACATCAAATGTGGATGATACAGCTTGGCACCCACAGCGTCGCAGGGGTTGCCGCAATTGTCATTGTGTCAATGTTATCCGCCTACGGGACTCCATCTTCCGGTTTTAATTCAGAGTTTGCCTTCTCTTCGATGAGCTGCCGCCCGAGGTTAGCGAGTCCAATCCACCCGGAGTGCTGGTGATTTTTTATCTTCTTTGTCTATAGTGGGGATTGAACTCCAGGCCACCAGCTTTTTAAGATTGACTCAGTTTAGACCGCTTGATATACCTTTGCGCCCCCATGCCCTTTGGTTGCTGCTGACGTGTCTCTCGCTAAAGTGAGACCTTGCCAATGCTCTATTTCTTCAGCTTCGGGTCTCAACCCCATACTCGACAGGGCCGAGATCGGTGAAGGAGAAAACTTCACAATAACCTGTGACGTCACTCGGGTGTTAAGCTATCATCACCGTAAAATATGTGGAGTCGACATAGACAGGAGATACTTGGGTTCGAACACATCAAACTTCAGCTGCCTGGTGAAGCAGTGGGTCTGCGCCCCTAGTGCAGTAGGTTCTTTAAAACACGATTTACTCACGGCACACCGATGTGAGTGCTTCTGCACGTACCACTCTTAAATGTGACTGCTTCTACTTTTTTAAAAGCTGTCATTATTGTTGAATGCCCATAATTATACAATCCATGCATACGAATGTGGGAAAAAACGGCAAAAAAAAAAAAAATAAAATAAAAAAAATCGCAATAAATGAGTATAAAAAGTGTTGGACTGCAATAAAGCTTTAAAATATATTAATAAGACACGAACAAATTGTGTCAATAGAACAATATGAGTTAGCTTTAATAATAATTGTACATTATACAGAAATAAATGCAATAAATGAGATAAGGATATTAGAGGAAGACTCATTGGTATTTAAACAAAAAAAATGCTTTCAAAGATTTAGAAATTTTATTTTTAAATTAATTTATTATTATTATAATATTAAAAAAAATAACACACACAACTTTCTAGATAGTCCTATTATGAACCAAATATTTAAAATTATTATTTAACTTTCTAGATAGTCCTATTATGAACCAAATATTTAAAATTATTATTTAACTTTCTAGATAGTCCTATTATGAACCAAATATCTAAAATTATTATTTAACTTTCTAGATAGTCCTATTATGAACCAAATATTTAAAATGATTATTTAACTTTCTAGATAGTCCTATTATGAACCAAATATTTAAAATTATCATTTAACTTTCTAGATAGTCCTATTATGAACCAAATATTTAAAATTATCATTTAACTTTCTAGATAGTCCTATTATGAACCAAATATTTAAAATTATTATTTAACTTTCTAGATAGTCCTATTATGAACCAAATATTTAAAATTATTATTTAACTTTCTAGATAGTCCTATTATGAACCAAATATTTAAAATTATTATTTAACTTTCTAGATAGTCCTATTGTGAACCAAATATTTAAAATTATTATTTAACGCTCTAGACAGTACTGTTATGAACCAAATATTTACTCTCGCCTTCCAGGAACGCCGGGTAAAATGGCCTTGGATAGTAACATACAGCAACCGCCATCTCGTGAACACCGA